ATTAGCAATGATGTAGACCACAAAGATTGGGAGATACACTAGATAAGTCTCAAATATAAAAAAAAAATGAAAATTTTTTATTCACAAGTCATATTGGTGAAGCTTTGAATGAAATTCAGAAAAACTTGAATGAAGAAAATGACTCTTCAATTTGCTCACTTTATGTGCATAATTTTCAATGCAATAAATAGAATATGAATTGTATTACAAAAGGAATGTCCTATTTCAAGTTCTTTTCAATTAGTCATACTCAGTACAGTTATGAAGTTTTTGGATAGCAACTAGTCATCATTTCAACACCCTTTGACACATATATGCATTTACAAAAGAAGATTTTGTTGGATACCTTAGAAGGTGAATTCAGAATTTAAATCGGTTAGTGAAATAACACGAATACATTATTCAATTATTTGAGATAATTATAAGTGTGAACTTAATAAAGTATAATATTTTAAATATTTTTTAATCCATATATAGTTCAAGTAGAAAGAAAGAAGTATGTCGCTGCACATAATGATCAATATCGGCCCCATATCATGATTATGAAGTGTTACGATAATCATATTTTTTACATCGTCAATGGATAAGAGTTATGTGTTTTTTGAAAATTACTTTTAAGTATGGATCATGGTATATCCAAAATGATATGACGAAATTATGACAAGAACTTAATTATAAAGGAATAGTTGATCAGAATCAGTTTGAAAAGAAAAGAGTGAATTCATCAAATTTCTCCAATTTTCTTGAATTGTACCTATAGTCAAAATAGTTATGAACGAAGCAATGGTGTCGTTGTATTTTATTGTCATATTATTAGACAATGGCACGAAAAATAAATATATAGTTATTAAATGACACGATCATGTTTTCTAAAATTACTTTTGTATGCATCATGGCATATACAAAATGATATGACAAAATCGTGAAAAGAACATATATATGAAGTTAGTTGATTAGAGTTACTTCAAAAAGAAAAGAGTAAACAACTCATCAAATTTCTCTAATTTTCCTAAATTGTACCTATAGACGAAATACTTGACCCAAGAACAATGATGTCATTGTATCATATTGTCGTATTATCAGACAATGGGCGCAAAACATACATATATATTTTTAAATAACACGATAATATTTTTTACATCATCAATAGACAAAACTTAGTACACTATTTTTTTCTAAAATATTTCTGTATGCATCATGGCATAATGATGTGACAAAATTGTGAAAAGAACTTATAAGAAGTGAGTTGATCAGAGTTACTTTAAAAAGAAAAGAATTAACTCATCAAATTTCTCCAATTTTCTAGAATCGTACCTATAGTCGAAATAGTTGTATCATATTTTTGTATTATTAGACAGTGGCACGGGAAATATATATTAATAGATAGATATTTAATGGTATGATCATATTTTCTACATAGTCGATAGATAAAGCTTAGTATACTTTTTTCATTTTCTAAATTACTTCTATATGCATCATGGTATATCCAAAATGATATGAAAAAAATGTGAAAAGAACCTATAAAGGGATAGTTGATTAGAGTTACTTCGAAAATAAAACAAGTAAGTTTATCAAACTTCTTCAACTTTTTTTGAATTGTACCTACAGTCGAAGTCATTGTATCATATTGTCGTATTATTAGACAATGATACAAAAAATACTCATTTTTTTCCTTTCTAAAATTACTTTCGTATGGATCATGGCATATCCAAAATAATGTGATAAAATCATGAAAAGAACTTATATGGAGATAGTTGATCAGAATTACTTTGAAAAGAAAAGAGTAAGCTCATTGAATTTCTCCAACTTTAATTTCTTGAATTGTTCCTATAGTCAAAGTCGTTGTATGATATTGTTGTATAATTAGACAACGGCACGGAAAATACATATATAGTTATTAACTGACACGATCGTATTTTCTACATCATCAATAGATAAAACATAGTATACTTTTTTTCTTTCTAAAATAACTTTTGTATGGATCATGGCATATCCAAAATGATATGATAAAATCATGAAAATAACTAACAGAGGGATAGTTGATTAGCATTACTTCGAAAAGAAAAGAGTAAGCTCATCGAATTTCTCCAACTTTCTCAAATTGTACCTATAGTCAAAGTCGTATAATATTGTTCGTATATAGTTATTAAATGACACGGTGATGTTATCTACATCATCAATAGATAAAACTTAGGGTGTGTTTGGTATGAAGGAAAACATTTTCCGGAAAATGTTTTCCTTCATACCAAACACACCCTAAGTTTTATCTATTGATGATGTAGATAACATCACCGTGTCATTTAATAACTATATACGAACAATATTATACGACTTTGACTATAGGTACAATTTGAGAAAGTTGGAGAAATTCGATGAGCTTACTCTTTTCTTTTCGAAGTAATGCTAATCAACTATCCCTCTGTTAGTTATTTTCATGATTTTATCATATCATTTTGGATATGCCATGATCCATACAAAAGTTATTTTAGAAAGAAAAAAAGTATACTATGTTTTATCTATTGATGATGTAGAAAATACGATCGTGTCAGTTAATAACTATATATGTATTTTCCGTGCCGTTGTCTAATTATACAACAATATCATACAACGACTTTGACTATAGGAACAATTCAAGAAATTAAAGTTGGAGAAATTCAATGAGCTTACTCTTTTCTTTTCAAAGTAATTCTGATCAACTATCTCCATATAAGTTCTTTTCATGATTTTATCACATTATTTTGGATATGCCATGATCCATACGAAAGTAATTTTAGAAAGGAAAAAAATGAGTATTTTTTGTATCATTGTCTAATAATACGACAATATGATACAATGACTTCGACTGTAGGTACAATTCAAAAAAAGTTGAAGAAGTTTGATAAACTTACTTGTTTTATTTTCGAAGTAACTCTAATCAACTATCCCTTTATAGGTTCTTTTCACATTTTTTTCATATCATTTTGGATATACCATGATGCATATAGAAGTAATTTAGAAAATGAAAAAAGTATACTAAGCTTTATCTATCGACTATGTAGAAAATATGATCATACCATTAAATATCTATCTATTAATATATATTTCCCGTGCCACTGTCTAATAATACAAAAATATGATACAACTATTTCGACTATAGGTACGATTCTAGAAAATTGGAGAAATTTGATGAGTTAATTCTTTTCTTTTTAAAGTAACTCTGATCAACTCACTTCTTATAAGTTCTTTTCACAATTTTGTCACATCATTATGCCATGATGCATACAGAAATATTTTAGAAAAAAATAGTGTACTAAGTTTTGTCTATTGATGATGTAAAAAATATTATCGTGTTATTTAAAAATATATATGTATGTTTTGCGCCCATTGTCTGATAATACGACAATATGATACAATGACATCATTGTTCTTGGGTCAAGTATTTCGTCTATAGGTACAATTTAGGAAAATTAGAGAAATTTGATGAGTTGTTTACTCTTTTCTTTTTGAAGTAACTCTAATCAACTAACTTCATATATATGTTCTTTTCACGATTTTGTCATATCATTTTGTATATGCCATGATGCATACAAAAGTAATTTTAGAAAACATGATCGTGTCATTTAATAACTATATATTTATTTTTCGTGCCATTGTCTAATAATATGACAATAAAATACAACGACACCATTGCTTCGTTCATAACTATTTTGACTATAGGTACAATTCAAGAAAATTGGAGAAATTTGATGAATTCACTCTTTTCTTTTCAAACTGATTCTGATCAACTATTCCTTTATAATTAAGTTCTTGTCATAATTTCGTCATATCATTTTGGATATACCATGATCCATACTTAAAAGTAATTTTCAAAAAACACATAACTCTTATCCATTGACGATGTAAAAAATATGATTATCGTAACACTTCATAATCATGATATGGGGCCGATATTGATCATTATGTGCAGCGACATACTTCTTTCTTTCTACTTGAACTATATATGGATTAAAAAATATTTAAAATATTATACTTTATTAAGTTCACACTTATAATTATCTCAAATAATTGAATAATGTATTCGTGTTATTTCACTAACCGATTTAAATTCTGAATTCACCTTCTAAGGTATCCAACAAAATCTTCTTTTGTAAATGCATATATGTGTCAAAGGGTGTTGAAATGATGACTAGTTGCTATCCAAAAACTTCATAACTGTACTGAGTATGACTAATTGAAAAGAACTTGAAATAGGACATTCCTTTTGTAATACAATTCATATTCTATTTATTGCATTGAAAATTATGCACATAAAGTGAGCAAATTGAAGAGTCATTTTCTTCATTCAAGTTTTTCTGAATTTCATTCAAAGCTTCACCAATATGACTTGTGAATAAAAAATTTTCATTTTTTTTTTATATTTGAGACTTATCTAGTGTATCTCCCAATCTTTGTGGTCTACATCATTGCTAATTTAATTTCTTTTTGATAATTTGAGAAATTCCCAAGGTATTTTGAAACTAGGCGTGATAATTGCCACCACTTTTTATTTTTTTCACTTAAATATCAAAATTTTATTTGTGGTAGCATTCAGACGTACGACGTGTGCATAATTCATACATCAGGTGTACTCCTATCATTAGACCAAAGTTTTAGGGCCAGTGCTAATAAGTAAGGATAAATATGAAATTTAGAACAATCAAATCATACCCAGGCTACTTTGAACAATAACTAATATCTTTGTCACTTTGATTAATCAACTAGCAATTGTACAATTTTTAACAAAAAATCAATATAATCGAAAAATTCATGAGAGCCAATGAGATATATTATGAAACGTGATGGATCCGCCCTTCTACTCTTTTTCATTTAAATACAAAAAAATTATTTACGACGTTAGAGTTTAGACCTATGACGTGCAGTCAAATCCACATATCACGCGCTACACTCCTCAATATCATTAGACCAAAATTAGTTAAAGATAAACATGAAATTCAGAACAATCAAATCATACCAAGGCTACTTTGAACAATAAAGAAATATCTTTGTCACTTTGATTAATAATCAGTAGTAATTGTACAAATATGTACAAAAATATCAACATAAGTGAACACTAAAGTCAAAGTTGAAAAAGGGGTGAAAAGGGAAAATAAAAAAAACTAGACCACCTCATCATGCTCGGGAAACTCAACCCAAACACCGCGTCCCCAAAAAAGAACTTGTTTTCTTTTTGGGGGGGACTTGACAACTTATGCAATTTCTTTTCACCTAACCTTTTTTCTTTTGGAGGATCTGACAACTTATAATACAAAAACTCCCAAACTATACCAAAACTTGGGATTTTGGAGAGGGCTAATCTATCTATGCTACCTATTTTTTCACAAAATTAATCTCTATATGATTCAATTAAATCACAAGGTTGAGATTTTTTGCTTCTTTTGCATAATATCTTCATTGTAAGCTTTGGTAATATCTTGTGCAATTTGGATAGCATCAGCAGAAGCACCTGATAGCCCTCTCCTTGTGAAACCAACTGCATATAGCCCAGATTTTCCTTTCCAACTATTTGGAAATGGTGCTTTTGGGAATCCATTTTTGGAAAAGAATTCACTTTCCTATATAAAAAAAATTACAAAATAATATCAGTCAACTATTCAAGAATCATTCATAAAAAGTTCAAAGTCAATTTGACACATGTACTTACACGACTTTCTAGTACCGACCCCTTAACTTGACTGATTTTCAAACAAACACTACAACTTGGTCTTATTGACGATGTGTTTAGACCTAGCTAAGGTGTCTGTTTGAGAATCCATCAAGTTAACTGTTCAACACTAGAAGTTTGTGCAAGTACTAAACCTAAACATAAATAAAAAGGAGCATCCAAAAGTTTCAATATTTTTCAATTTGACACTCGTACTTGCACGATTTTCTAGTGATGACCGCTTAACTTCCACAAATTCTCAAACACACACTGTTTAACTTGGTCTTTTTAATTTATGAAAAGACGTGTTTTGACCAAGTGAAGGTGAGAACGGACATGTTAATTGAGGTACTAAGCCTAAATAAAAAAGAAGAATCCAAAAAAATTGAGAAAAATAGAACATTTTCTCACCTTTAGCCAAAAAGGGACATTGCTGCAATAACCAGTAGCAAGAACAACAGAATCAATTTCGAGTTTTTCACCATTGACAAGTTCAACGGTGCCACATGAAAACTTCTTGATTCCAGGGACAACATTGATTTTTCTTGATCTAATTTTTTCCAATGCACCAATGTCCAAAACAGGAGTTTTCCCTTGTGTATTTTTGAGTTCCAAAGGACCAATTTTTGGCCTTTTTAGTCCATATTTCTCAATGTTACCAAGAATGAACCATGTCAAAATTAGTAAAATTTTGTCAACTAGCCACAATGGTAACCATTTCATCATAAACATAGCCAATTCAAATATTGATTTCCCAAAAATTTCTCTTGGCAATACATGAACCTGAAGAAGAAGAAAAAAAGAACAAAATTCCATTAGAATCCAAACTTTATTGTTTGTTATAAGAAAATACAAAAAGGATTTAACATATTTTAACATGTTGTAATAGGTTATCTGTCTCGTCCTTTAGGTAACTAATCTCACTTTTTATGACTACTATCTTTTGTATGACCTAATAGTGTGCAAATTCTTGTACTTTATCAGTTATAAAAGATACTGTGTAAAATGACTTTTACATTATCAAGTCACTTGAAAGATAACTAGAGATAAATCGTCCATATTAAGTGGAATTACTAACCCAAAATACTAATACTACTGTCAGTGTGTATAACTTACCGAGCTACGACAAACCAATGATGGATGAGCATTATGATTGCTAAGATCAAGAGAAACTTCCATGCCAGAATTTCCACAACCAACAACAAGAACTTTCTTCCCACTAAACTTTTCACCAGACTTATAATCACAAGCATGAATAACTTCACCTCCAAATTCTTTTAATCCTTCAATATTAGGCACAACTTTCTCAGCATTTTCCCCTGTAGCCACAACAAGCCATTGACAAATATACTCAACTTCTAATCCATTTGGTGAAATAGTTTTCACCCTCCACAATTTACATATTTGGTCATATTTTGCAAATTGAACACACTCATTAAACATTGGATTGATGTCAAATTTTCTAGCATATGATTCAAGATAATCAATGAATTGTTTCTTTGTAGGGTACTCAGGATAGTGTTGTGGAAATGGAAATTTGGGTAATTGACAAAATTGTTTAGGGAGGTGTAGTTTTAATCTATTGTAAGTTTTTTTTTGCCATAGAGATGCAATACAATCTGATTTTTCCAAGATTACAAAAGGGATACCTTGTTCTTTTAAACAAGCACCAACAGCTAGTCCTGATGGCCCTGCACCTACAATAACAGGACCATTTACCCATACACATCTACTAGAAAACAAATCTTGACCATTAAAGCTAACCATAATTCGACGACAGACTTTGAAAGCAGAACACGAGCGTGTTTTTGTGATTGTAGTGTATGAAGACTTGAAAGAAGAGGAAGGTTGTTTGAGTTTGTTGTTGAAATGGTTTTGACTAGTGGAAAAAATCGATGTCTGACTTTGAAAGCAGAACACGAACCTATTTTTGCTATTCTGAATTTTAATTGAGCAATGGTAGTGGTGTGAAGACTTGAAAGAAGAGGAAGTTGGTTTAAGTTTGTTTTTGAAGTGGTATTTTCTTGTGAAAATTTGGTGATCGACTTTGGAAGCAGCACACGAACCTATTTCTGCTATTCTGGATTTTAATCAAGCAATGATAGTGTTTGATGACTTGAAATAGGAGGAATTTGGTTTTTTTTTTTTCTAGTGAAAATGTTGAGGGCTGACTCTGAAAGCAGAACACGAACGTATTTTTTTATTCAAAATTTGATTGAGCAATGATGGTGGATGAGTACTTGAACACGATATAGTAAAGAACTGAATATCAGTGGATCGTAGCAGCAAGATCAATAAGTGAATGTGTATTTGAAGTTGTGAATGTAGTAAAGAGAGAGAAGAGAAGAATTGAAGTAGTTTGATTTGAATGTAGTAAAGAGAGGGTGGAAGGTGTTTAAATAGAAGTTTTGGTAGTGAGATATATGACAGGGGCATTTGATAGAAGGTGGGAAGTTAATGCCTTTTCAAATGGGGTCCTTCTCAAATCATAAGCTAAACTCTGACAACTATTATTTTATTTCAAAATTAATATTAATTCAATAAACTATTTTTGTATCATATACTAAAATATTAGAAGTACACTATACTCCACTTTTATATATATTCAAGAATAATGAAAAAGTCTTTAGAAGGTCAAGCTAGAAAGCTGACTTGGACATAGCAAATATGTATAAGTTGGGGCCTATAGGAGATCATTTCTAAGTTGGATTAGCTTATTTCGTAAAAAAGATAGTTCGATGTACGAAATATGACAAGTTCATGCAAAGTCCAAGGAAGAGCCATATCTTAAAGGAACGTTATCGATGATTGATTTCATCACTCAAATTCATAACTTATAAATTGCATGAGACTTTATCACTGCTTCAAAACTCCTCTCCATCAACTTAAATTCTGACAGTACGGTATAAATAATTTGTATATTATCAAATTATTTTAACTTGTTATAACAAATTACCGATAATATTGTATATCTTACATTGCATGCCTTATTTTAGGTAGCTAGTTCGATTTAATTCTATTTTATATTGCATCAATGACTGATTTCATTGTTTGAATTGAACTCATAACTTATAAACCATATAATACTTTATCGTTATTTCAAGACTTCTCTTTATCAACTTAAATTCTGACCGTATAAATAATTTATATACTATCCATTTTATTTTAACCTGTTATAACAAATAATTGATAATAAAGTATATTTTATATTGGACCCCATCCTAGGGCTACCCTAGGGTAGTAATAACTTGAGTTTTTAGCCACAAATATGCCCATACTTGCCAGCTGAAAACCCATGGCTAACACCACCTTGATTGCCAAGTATATTGACCCCACTTTATTTCTCTATCCATTCTACTTCCCTAACATTTGCTTTAAACAAATACCAAAAATCTTTCTTGGGCATCTCCAACCCTACATCCTATTTTACTCTTCAAATATAGAATTTTTTATTTTTTCAGACAATCAACTCCAACCTTATTCTCTATTTTACTTTTTAAAAATGAATCTTTTTCTCTCTCCTCAATATTATATTATTATTTCTATTTCATTTTTATTTTCTTATTTCATAATATAAATCCATTATTTTTTCCCAATAATTACTTTATATAATTTTCATGTGATATAAAATTATATTTTTTCAAAATTTTTATTTAATATAAAATTATATTTTATTCTAAATTTTAAATTAACATAAACTGCAAGAAAGTATTATATAATATACAAATTAATGGACAAATTCAAATAAACGTGAAATACAATTACATAAATACTCAATTTTTGAAATTATTACGTTGCTCCCATTACCCATAAATGCTCTATTAATGCATTAAGGAGTTTAAAATGAGCATTTTTTGTCCTTAATTTTTTTTTATGTCTAGCTAAAAATTGTTCAAATCGGAGATTTTCATCTACCCCCATTTATGCCGTTGGAGTTGGAGCCTCTACGACATCTTGAATTGGTGCATTAGGACCACATTCATCCTCAATTATCATGTTGTGCAGTATAATACATGTAGTCATTATATCATGTAGCACTTCCTTTCTCCAAAAACGTGACGGTCTTGCAATAATTGCAAAACTCCGAATGCACGTTCAACATCTTTTCGGCATGATTCATGTTTTATCGCGAATTAATTATTATATTATGTATTGTATTTTATCTTGTATTTAAATTATTGTGTTATGTATTGTATTGTTATCTTGTATTTAAATCATCATAATATGTATTGTATTTTCAAACTAAAAATTTCATCTTATCATTTTAATTTTGTGTATTCTATTTAGTGAAAATTAATAATAAAATCAAATTATATTATTGATGAAAATTAGAAAAAATTAAAATACTATTAATTCGGGATGAAAGTAGTATATATTAAATAATATATTTTTAAAAATATTATATTACATTTAAAAATAATTGTGAATATTAGATATTTAATTAATGACATTAAATGTAAAATAATATGTTAATTAGAAGTAATATAAATAATAATAAAATAATCAAAAAGTGAAATAGAGAGTGTGAATAGTAGTTTTCCAAATTTGGAGAACTACAATTCACCTCTCTAAATATGAAGAATAGAGAGTGATATAGAGGTGGGTTGGAGTGCCCATTCTCTATTTTACTCTCCAAATATAGAGAATGGAGAGTAAAATAGAGATGGATTGGAGATGGTTAGCTTTGACAATTAGTAGAGTTTGTGGATATAATATAATAATATCATACTCAGTATAGTTTCGTCAGTGAAGTGAAATTTGAAAAGTTAGATGAATTGTATATAAATCTTATTTCTATTTTTAAAAGATAAAAATATTATTTTTAATATACCTTCAATCGGAAAAAACTCATGTTTCAGAACATATTTGAAAAATGCGCAAGTAAGTAGAGTTTGTAGGTGATTTGCATAAAAGGGATATTTTTGTATGGATTTTTATGTATTAATGGCCTTTTCAAGTTTAATGAAAATGTTTAGACTAAAATATTTTTAAGTTTGGTAGGTCATGACAAATTTGTAGGACAACTCACAAAAATTCTATGAACTGACATGATTTTATGCGTGTTTTCAATTGTTCACCAAATTTTGTTAGATTAATATAACTTTGTGTTATCTGCATTTGACCTATCTTGTTATGTTATTCAAATCCAATTGGATTGACATGATTTATATTTGTGTTGTTCAACATGATATTCTTTGAATTTGTAATTTCAATTTCGATTAAGCCACATTATATCGCTACTTCAAATGATTTCAAATTTGAAATAAAGCCTCCAAACACCAACACATGAAACAATCATCAATCTAGTCCAATAACACCAAATAAAGAAAAAAACAAGAATTAAATTGCAGAACCATGATAGTCAAAAAAATCAATGTGACTCAAATCTTCCACTTGAGCAAGCCTCACTTGTCGAGATTCATGTAAGAGAAAATGCTTTTTTGTCGAGGGGTTTTATCTTCTCAGAACTTGAAACTCGAAATCTATTGTGACGCGTTGAAATCTCCATTCTAATTTTTGTAATTCGTATAATTTCATATAATCAAATCAAGTATCTTTAGAAGTAGCCGTGTATGATGTAACAAACAGTCTATATGTGAGTTTAATTAATTTCATTATTTCGACATGAACTATACATATACATGTTAGAAATCACTAAAATTTCAACAAAAACAATTTGTGAACCTACAATTTCAAATTAAATTGCAATGAGTTTCAAAAGTAACGTATAAAAATTTTAAAATTTTGAACTCGCATATTCGTATAATATTTCATCTATCTTCCCGAAATTCTGAATCGATGCGCCTATTTCATGACCCCCACCACTTGTCCCTCTCAAATGCAAATTCATTGGAAAGAACTAAAAAGAGGGGGGTGCATGTGCATGAGCTTGGTTTTATGGAGCTTTCTCTTCTTTTCATGACAGGATTCGAGAGCTAGCTAGGGTTTTGGCCTTTCTTATTAGGTTTTATTAAACATTACAAAATAATACTGATGGCTTTGGAATGAGATAGTATCACATCACCATAGGGCGTAGCGGATGAGACTGCTCCTTCCTTAACCAGAAGGCTTGAGTTCGAGTCTTGTGTATGGAAAAATTCTTGGTAGGGAACGCTTCCCCCCAAGTGGGGCCCTATACAACGCAAATCCAAAATAATCAAGTTCTAATACGGATACCAGATACCGAACGGAAAAGCCCCAAAAAAGAGAAGAGAAAGTACCACATCAATTCATCATTCTTCCAACTTTGCTCTATACCCATAAGTGGCCAAACCCTAAAACCCAAAAAAAAGTGATGAATAAAATAAAGGAGGACCCCAAGAAATTATAGAAGATCAAAAAGAAGATCTGAGATAACATTATACTGATATTTATGTATGATTTGATGGGGATATGATTCATATATATGAAGAGACGGTATTCGAAATTTAAATTCGATTAATTTATTCAATTATTACGGTTTCTAGCTAGTATTGAATTCACTATATTTAAGACGTACATACTGTTTATTATAATTCTAACTTTTTTTTATACATAAATTTATTTTTTATATCAAAAAATAATTAAATTCGGATAAACTCGATGTTGCACCCGCGTCCAATCCCTATTCTTGATCCCCACCAACCATCTTTGGCCAGCTTGGTAGTTGAACATTTGGAGGCCAGGGCTATTACTTTTTGCATTATTATTTTCTTCCCCTCTAAAAATATTCAAATAAAAAATTATTATTATATGCACTAATAAAAAATATAGAGAAATTTTACACTATCAAATTTTATATACACTGATTTTTCACACTAGGAATGTAACGGAATCTGTTATACATAATTACGTATCGTTTATTCTAGGCCACCAATAAATATAATGCAATATATAAATTAAACAAAGGATTTAATTGTATAAATATTTTTTAATTTCATAACTTTTTTGGGATCGGCTATATGAAGCAAGCGCGTAATTGGGCAGAATATTTTTAGTGGCTATTGTTAACTTAAATATTTTAAGAAGCTAATAATATAATAAAAAAGGGATAAATATTTAAATAGGAAAAAGTTTTGGTTTTGATGAAATGTATAATGAATTTGTTCACGCGCAAAATAAAGTTGGAGAAATATAAAATTATACTCCCGTCCCAATTTATCTCAAAATATTTGTCGTTTTTATTAAAATGTATATATTTCAAAATACCTTTTTTTCGTGATAGTAATTATTTTTGAAGACTATAAATGCGTCAATTATAACACATAAATAGAACAAAAAAAATTAATAAAAAAAAACCTCTTAAAACATAAATAGTAATAAAGTAATAGTTAAACATCCTTCTTAATTAATATTTTATTAAGAGGTATGTAA